TCCTCTGATGCTGCTTGGCCTGCTGTGTTCATCCAGCTCTACACAGCCAGATTCTAAACAAGGCCGCACATCTAAAATGCATTGTCTGACCTGGGACGTCACCTCTGGTATACTGAGGGAACTAACAAAACCTTTAGTTATCTCAGGGCACTGACTTGAAAGAAATTCTGGAATTTTCACATTAATCCTTTCTAAATGATTAAAGATTTAACAGCCATCTTAGGTTTGTTCAACACATTTGAATCAGTTCTATGTCCCTTTGATCTTTTGTTTGCAAATTCTGTGTATGATGCCACCTCTCTTACTGACAATTGAAGAAGGAGTGAGGCTCCGAAAACTTGTGTCTTCAAATAAACCTGTTGAACTACAACCTGGTATTGTGTGATTTTTGACCTCTCCCATAAAGGTGGTGGAGCAGAATCAATCCCCAAGTTTTAAGAGAGATTTGGTGAAATACTTGAAGAGGAAAAGCAGCAGAGCAAAAGACAGGAAGTAACTGAATTACTGCTTTTGGCATGATGAGCTGAAAGGCATATTTCTACACTCTGTGAAGCTTCAATGAGACAAATAGGAAATATTGTTCGACATTCAAAAAGCATTAGTACACATGGAATACAATAAGTATCTATAAATAATCTAAAAATTTATCATAAGCAGTATTGAGTGAGGGCCTTGACACACTAGGATTAGGTCCAATGCAGCCCAAGTTAACTTCATATACGATCCTTGCAACAATAAATAGCAACTTAAGAATCTGAAATATTCTTTGACTTGTGATTTTATGTGTATCCCTGACAGACCTTCGAAATTTTCTAATCAATTTGTTCAGAGTTATTTTACACACCTCTGGATCAGGTGGGAGTTGAAATCAAGGCTTCCTTGGCTCAGTGGTATGGACACAAGCAGTGCAACACAAGAGTCCCCTTGGTAGATATTAGCATGTCATCACCAGCTGATGCCCTTATGTCACGAATTAGGGACCACTTAAGGGCGTCAGGCTGCCATCTATCACAATATGGTGTGCCCAACAGATAAAGGAGTGAGAGCAGCCTTTCAGCTGAGGCAGGGAGAAACCCTGATTCAAGATAATCAGTGCCTGATTAAGAGACTGAGCACTGGGCAATGATGGATGTTTGCCGAGATGTCCTTCCCTTGCATCAAACATTTCTAGCCCTTATCTCAATAACCTCCAATTCAGAAGCCAAAGACCCACAAAATCACATCTTGGTCCTCCATGATCCGAGGTATCCTCGTGGCAGCAGCCACAACCTCCTCCTTGCCACTGTCATGTCCAAATGCTGATTGGTTACTCAGCAGGACATCTGTCCCCAGCATTCTAATTTCAAGTGAAGGACCTCTTGGTGGCCTCAGTAGTGCCTGATTGACCAAAGAATTTTGTGGACTTCACCTCAAAGAGTCAGTGTGGGTCTGCATCAGCTCTCCAGCCAGCTGACAAGATCCCTGCCTCCTCAAAATGAATTCACCAGTATTTCTGAGTATGGAAGGTATAAATGTGTGAGGTACTTGTGTCATTTCTATTGAATGCTTGCGCAACCACACAACCTGCTAAGTTCTCAAAGTGTGTCAAATGACACACTAAACATGCACCGTGTTGACTTCAACTCTCAAATTTCCAATCTGGATACTAGCTGGCTTCAAAATTTCATCTTTATGCTCTTATCCCACCAGGCTGATCAGTGAGATTAAGATAACACCCACCCAAGATCAAAGAAGACTCCTAAATTAACAAGCCTTACTTCTGTCTCTTTTCAATGGTGATGTTCTGCTCTTCAGTCTTCTCAGTTAAAAACCAAAATCAAAAGAGTTTGATGGTGTGATAGACAGTGCACAATAAAATTCAACCTTGCAGCAATTAATATGATTAATTTCTCTTTGTTTCTACAGCACTGAATGAGCCCACAATAGACTACGGTTTCCAGAGACTGCAGAAGGTCATTCCTCGGCACCCAGGTGATCCAGAAAGACTAGCAAAGGTTTGTAGAAGTTGTGTTTACAAAACACTGCAGATTATGTTCATGCCCACAAACAATGTGTATAATCCACTTGTGTTGCATTCAATTTTGCATTGAAAATTATAGACAGGCCTCATAAATCTCATAGGCTGAAGGTATAACACGCCACTATTCCATTCCTTTCTCCTGAAAGCAACGGGATCTAATGTCGTGAGGTATTCCTGATAGAAGAACTCAGATGGTGTGAGCACTGAATCATGTAAGGCTCTTTAACAATGAAGGGGGAATCTGAAGCCCAATCTTTCATGATGTCCGGTCACATATAATTTTCTCAGCAAGTTCACTTGTTGCAGTTCAGAGCTGGCATTCCCAAATATGCTGAGGGCAACTGGAAATAACCCCAAATGCTGTCCTGTATGAGATCAGCTAACTGGTGGCATCCCAAAAGTGTATCAGTGATGTGATCACATATACAGTACAGCAGGTACCTGCACTAACAGTTAAGGAGCCTGAAGGCTGAATGGTATGATTATGGTGAACCTCATGCTTGAGTAGAAAGCTGACACTGGCATTGCACCATCCCAGATCAATTGCATAATGAGCAAATAGTTAAAGGTGAAATCACTGCAAAAAGCCAAGTTGTCTGACTCCTTTTGTAACATCTAGCTGTGCCAATACTGTGAAGGCCATCACCGCTGCTAGGTGGCACAAACTAGGAGAGATTTGACACTGGGTGCTATTCTTGGAAATGATCTGTGCAGTTTGCCATACTTCCTGAGGAGGTAAAAGTAAGTCTGTGTTGACAGAGCAGGCTTAATGGGCCAAGTGGCCTTTTCCCATTACATAGTTCAGTCTAAAGATGTACAAGTTAGGTAGACTGGCCAAGATAAATTGCCCATAGTGTTCATGGATGTACAGACTAGGTAGGTTAGCCATGGGAAATGCAGGGTTACAGGGATAGGGTAAGGGTATGGGTCTGGGTGGGATGCTGTTCGGAGGGTCACTATGGACCCATTGGACCCATTGGATTCTATGATTCCAAATAAGGTTTCAAAGCTTTATTTTTGTGTTGACAATTTTGGTGCTTATTCAGGAAATTTTTAAGATTCAGACTCTCCTTTTAGTTCACCTTTGCCTTTCCATTGGTCTTTTCATGAAAAAGGCAGGCCTCTTAAACATCATCAACCATAAATATTAGTTTCATGGTGAAATATAGTCAAAGAGAACAAGCATTGAACTCAAAAGCCTAGGTTCCAAAAAGCTTAAAATGAAAGGTCCAGAGAGGAATGGCAACAGGGGATTACATGAATTTTGCTCCAATTCATTGTTAAGAATAAACCACTCATTTAGGAATGTTCTCAACTGGAGAAAGGGCCTTTCAAAATCAATTCAGTTTTAATTGGATGCCTGAAAAACTCGCACTTGTCTGTTTCAGCACTATGGACAGTTCTGAATCAATTGATCTTCAGATTTGTTCTTAGGACATCAGAAATGTGTAATGACTAGAGTCTGCTCACATTGCTAATGTTAACAAATGTTCTACATTTATGTTTCCTTGAAAAGAACATGTGAATTCTTCTAGTGTGTCATCATTTTGTACATTGCTGTAAGAAATCTATCACTTGGTTTGGCATAGTTAGTTGCTTACATCATTCAAAAACCTGGGTGTGTCCAGTGTGGCTTTCAACTGAACTTTTAACGTATGCATGATTAAATTGTGATGAATCACTGCATCCATTTCGCGATGTTTGCTGCTAAAGTTGACAAGTTGCTGCTTAAGTTTACAAAAATATCTAAAACCAAATATATAACACCAAAAATATATTATGGTGTGTTTGACAGTTCATAGATAATGCAACCGTTGGCTGGAATGAACATTTTTCTTTTCAACTATTTATTTCCAAAACTCATTTCATCTTCTCAATTTTCATGGAAGAAACTGGATTTACAGAAAATATTCAGAAATGATTGAGCAAGACTCCATTGCCAAAAAAAGCAGCCAATCACCACCTTCTGAAAGCATTCAAAATGGGCAATAAATGCTGGCCTTGCCACAGCAACATCGACATCATCTTTTTTTTAAGAAACACAGTAAAGAGAAGGATCTGTTAACTCAGCAGTTGGCATTCACTGCACTGGTGTGCATTTGATACTCATTGCTCAGCTTCGGGGTCGCTAAGTATGAGCTCTGCTTCAAATCCATCCCAGACACTTTTGAGCCAGTGCAGAAATCAGGAGTCACCTGCAAGTTATCAATGTTTATTCTGGGACTGCAAAAGAAACACAGCTGGTCTTGCAGCATCTGTGGAGAGAGAAACAGAGTTAATGTTTTGAGTTCAGTATGACTTCTTCAACAGTTCATTGAATTGTGAAGATGTGTCATACTGGACTTGAAACATTAACTCAGTTCCTCTCTCCACAGATGCTGCCAGACCTGCTGAATTTCTCCAGCATTCTCTATATTTGTTTCAGATTTCCAGCATTTACAGTATTTTGCCTTATGAGCTCATTCATTTTTTTCCAGGTGGAGTGTAATAAAAGTTAGAAGTATTCATTTGACAGTACAGAGCTTGACTATTTCTGAAAAAAAAAGACACATTTTGTCCAAGTTTCTTGTCTTGCAATCAACCAGACAACTCACAAGAATACCAGCTCAGAAAAGCTATATTTATACTGCATGAGGAGGCTGCTGATTGGTTGGCAAGTGGACTCTAATTGGTCACGGTGTGGCCATGCAGAATGAACCCATTCATGCTGATTGACAGTAAACTACCAAGCTTTGTTTACATTTCAAGTCAGGCAGATTGATTACCTTCTGATTATCTTCATAAGTGAGCCAGTGAATGGCTGTCACTTTAATAATGCAGCCATCATTTGAAATGGATATTACAGGGGAGACCTGCACCATCAAATTAGACTTTTTTTCTTCACAATGGGCAACTATAGGGTCACCTTTCCTCCTTTATTGTTGCTTCTTGAACATCAAACAATGAATGAAAGGGGTTACTAAACTTTGAACTTTTTCTTTTGGCATCAAAACTACAGTCAGCAGCATTTCCATTGATCCTGGAAATAGCCAATCTATTCCTGACCTTCGGCATGCTATGCAGGTGCACAACAGAGATGGGTGAATGAGATGAACTTGGATTAATGAATCAGGTTAGCTTACTTGGGTTCAGCCATATGGAGTTCCCATAGTGATGCTTCAGAACCATGTTATTTGATCCATTGCTCTCGTGATGAGACTGAAAAACTATTGTTGTAGTCTATGGAAATTTTGAGATGGATCATCTTTTTGTTTAATCGTTGGAGGTAAGTGAAGCTGGCAACACCACGATATAAAAAATGAGAAAGTTTGAGAAAGTAAATATGGATACATAATTGGCATAATGGCAGGAGACAGAGTGGTTGCTTTTCGGACTGGAGGCCTGTCACCAGCGGTGTTACGCAGGGATCAGTTCTGGATCCTCTTTAGTTTGTCATTTATAGAAATTATTTAGATCAGAACATAGAAGGCATGGTTAGTGAGTTTGCAGATGACACCAAAATTTGTGGCATAGTCAACAGTGAAGAAGGTTTTCTAAGATTACAGAGGGATCTTCATCTAATGATCAATAGGCTGAAAAATGGCAGGCGGAGTTCAATCTGGATAAATGGGAGGTATTGCATTTTAGTACAATAAACAAGGGTAGGGGCTTATAGAACTAATGGTAGAGCCTTGGATAGCGTTGTAGAACAGAGGGACCTCGGGATGTATGTACATAATTCTTTGAAGTTTGCATCACATATAGACAGGGTAGTTAAAAGGTGCCTGGCACGTTTGCCTTCATTGCTACGTCCTTTGAGTACAGGAGTTGAGAAGTCATGTTGAGGTTGTACAGGACATTGGTGAGGCCTCTTCTGGAGTACTGTGTCCAGTTCTGGTCGCCTAGTTACAGGAAGGATATTATTAAGGTGGAGAGGCTTTTACCAGGACGTTGCTGAGTATGGAAGGTTTGAATCATAAAGAAAGATTGAATAGGTTGGGACTTTTTTCACTCTTTCATCCAACATTATTCCTCCCTTATTCTCAATGCAGGAAAATCTGTCCCATAATGGGCAGCAAGGCATCTCGACTTCACTAAAGGAGCCCCTTCCTCTCAGAGAGATAGAGTGGCTCCAGCAGGTACCCACAATGAGGAAGAATGATACACGGGCAATGTAGAAGCTTTATTGTCTAGTCCCTTCTTAAAACAAGTTAGACAACTCCAACCAGAATGCTATGAATGAATTGCCCAGGTATCCCTCAATATTGAAGTGGTCAAATCACTACGAACACAAGCCGGTATCAACTGTAAATGGTCTCAACTGCATGTGGAAACGTATGAGGACTTTTTTCACGAAGCATAGGAGGTTGAGGATAGAAGTTTATAAAATAATGACAGATATAGCTAGAGTTAATGATTGTTGTCTTTTCCCTAGGACGGGGGATTTCAAGATTAGGGAGCACATTTTTAAGGTGAGAGGAAAGAGATTTATAAAAGACATGAAGGGCAATTCTTTTGCACAGAGGGTGGTTCACGCGTGGAATGAACTTCCTGAGGAAATGATGAATGTGGGTACTATTACAACATTTAAAAGACATTTGGATAGGTACATGAACAGGAAATGTTTGGAGGGATATGGGCCAGGAGCAGGCAGGTGGCACTAATTTAGTTTGGGATTATGTTCGGCATGGACTGTTTGAACTGAAAGGTCTATTTCTGTGCTGTATGACGGTGACTCTATGAGAAGTCATTCCCAATGATTTTTAAATCAGTGACATTGGGCTATATGTCCCTGTGATAATATGAGTCATACAGAGAAAATGTCTGAGCTTTCTCACGAAGGGAATGACTACAATAGGGAATGTATTGCTGAAAGTGACTGCTGATGTTGTCAACCACAACTTTCAATACAGAAATTGAGTAAACACTTAATGTATCAGACTAAAGGATAAAGAAGAACAGAAAATGGAACAAGTGTAAGTCATTTTAGCACCACAACAGAACAGGTATGCAAGCAAACTAGCTTTCTATGCAGCAACTTCTATGAATCTGTGATACAAAGCCCCTTTGGTAAGGCAAGCTCAATTGGCAGTCTGTTTGGTGCATTTCTTGTGACCTATCTTTATGCCTTCAGGAAGGTAGCCCACAGTTTATAGATTGCTATTCTTTGACTTCCTGCATCTGTCTTTCAAATGTGAGACAGTTAACAAGCAATGGTATGTGTCAGCTTTTCCCTGCAACCTGCAGTTTGTCTCGGTGAGAATAAGGCCTGAGTACAAGCAACCTATTTTCTAGCCTGCAGTGAATGGACTGGAAAATCTTTCTCTCTTCCTGTGCTGAATGCAAGCCAGGGTCAACAGAGAGAGCAACAGCAACCAGGGTGAAAGTCAAATGCTCTATCTAACAACTCTGTGACGTATTGGCACGGTGCAACAGTAGTCAATTTACCATGTGTCTTGTAGTTCTGAGACACTTTGTGTCTTAACTTAAGACCTGTGATCCTTTAAGAGTTTGTAGAAGAGAGTAATTGACTGTTTATTTCCCACAGGAGATGTTACTGAAAAGAGCAGCAGATCTTGTTGAGGCATTATATGGAGGACCACCAAATAATCAGGTACAGCAGAATGCTTGTGACAACTCCCTTCAGCCTAAAGAGCAGTCAGTCCTTCTCAATATATATATATGATATATAAGCCAACAAAAATTATAATTATATTTTTAAAATATATAGCTCAATGAGCTGTTTTTGAGTCAGAAAGTAATATCAGGTAAAAAATTGTTGACAAACCATTTGCTTTTCAAGAATCTGCATATCCCAGTTAATGTTACCCCAAATCATAACAAGATCCTATCTGAGCAGCATTTTTTTGTTCTGTTGGTTTTATAGGTCTTCTATCAGTAACATTGTTGCAGCAGCCAATCTAACATCAAGCCTCCAAGAAGGCATCTGGCAACACATTTCATAAAGCAACAACAACATCAGCAACTTGATTTATCTGTATTTTTCTGTGTTTTTTTAAACCTGATTTCTCTGATTTTTTTAGAAATGGCACTTTACAAGTTTTTTTTCTGAATTGGGTAATGCTGCTGGAAACTGGTCTGGGTAAACAAAAATTAAAACTTCTGGCAAAAAATACCTCAGTTTGTTCACATTGTGATGCACATATTTTCCTGTCAAAAACCATATTGATTTGCAGAAGAGGCTTCATTGTGCGGTTAATTTTTATTTGTTCATGGGATATGACATTGCGAGCTAAACCAACATATATTACCAATCTCTAGTTGCCATGAGGGCAGTTAAAAGTCAATCACATTGCAGTGGTTCTGCAGTCAGATATAAGCCAAAACAATTAAAGGTTGCTGATTTCCTTCCTTTAAGGACATTAGAGATGAGGTGTGAATTTAAGACAATCATTTGTGGTTACATGGTTACCTTTTACATATTCCAGAATCCTTTTAAACTGAATTCAAATTTCACTATCTATCATTGTGAGATTTGAACACATGGCACCCAAACATTGGGCGGGGGTTCTGGATTCCGCCTCCAGTGACAGAACCACCAGTAAACCATTGCCACACATAATTATATCTTCAGTTGCTTATCTGAGGACAAATATGGAAATGAAAGGGGATCTCTCCTGTACTTCTTAAGAACACCACCCAATCTCCGACACTGAGGCACTTCAATAAATTAGACAAAAGAGGCACACAGACACCACCTCCGCTGTCTTCTCACCTCCATCAGAACTGAGCTGAAAGCAGGAGGCCTTTTCTGAACATTTCTGCACCTCTGCCAATTCGAGGCCACAAAAGGGCCTCATCCCACTGCATTGGGATTAATCCAAGTGCATGCTGCCTAGTGTCATGTGGCATGCTCAATAATTCAAGCCATGTCGCCAGCTGGAGTGGGGTGGGGCAGGGCGGTGTGGGGTCCCTCGATCAAAGGCAATCAATCAGTGCCTGATCGAGGTACTGGGCATATAACCTACTCCCTGTCCTTGCTTCTGAACCCCCTCATATCATTCACCTGACTTCATATTCCCTATGATATCCAAACCACAAAACCTTCCTCATCACAAATCTGACTTTTTGGTCCTCTGTCATCTCAGGGTGAGAGGATGGGAAGATACAGAGTAGCTGTGGACTCTTCTGTGATGTTGCTGAGGTAACAGCCACCCGGCTTCTGATTGGCTGACAGTACTCAAAGGGCAGACCTCTGTCCCTGGGATCTTAACTCCAGTCTGATAGACATTAGTTTTGGTAGGCTTTCCATGGAGGAGGCATTGAAAGTCTCTCGCTGCTTAACCAGCTGGCTGACGAGCCTTTGCTGCCTCAACAAGATTTCATCTTGTGTCTTTAATAAATCTCTAGATTTCAACAAGTCAATTTATAATCCTATAAATGATCAGCTTTGTATTGCTTATGCTGTGCATTTCCTCAATAATCCATCAGGAATTCTACAGAGAAACTTGAAACTGACAAAAGGAATTTCACTGTGAACCACAAACAGTGCAAATGTGTTTGAAAATGAATTACTGATTCATTGCCAAACTGTTTTATTGGAGGACTGAAGGACCAGTACAGGAATAATTAAACCTACCAAAGTTCAGTTCAAAGTATTCACTGTTCAAAGTGGAGTGCAGATTTGTTGCTGATTTAGTCTGGTTACTTCTATTGTCAGCAACAAGCTTATTTGTCTGTCTCACTCGTCTTTCTTTCCCGCATTTTGCCAGTATATCTGACAAAGATGGACACAGGCATGATTTCAGTGCTGTTCCCAGCTAAATAACTCATCCTTGGAGCTACTCTTCAAATTGCAATCTAATTCAATTGCAATTTCCTTAAGTTCTTATATTTCAACAGTTGGGGAAATGAAATACCGAAAACAAGTTGAAGATTTTAAAGTTGCAGAAAGAAAAACATTGGAAGAAGTTGAATGAGTTCAAAAGTAAAATTTAAAAGTTGGAAGGGAAGAAAGAAAGAAGATAGATGCAGGCAATTTCTGTTAACATTTTCAATTTAAGACTGTGTTTGGATTGTTCAATTCAGTAGCCTTTGACTATATTCAAGTAATAGATTCGTTTCTGATGTTGAAATTGATACAGGATTTTAATATTAGTCTGCAATTTGCATTTTAACATTATTCTACATTTCCAGGGTATGTGAGCTGAAAACTTAAATGAGTCAGTCCAGGAAGACTGGAAGCAGGAGAAATGTTATCAATTTCTGCATTACATTTATAAATTCCATATGTTCTTAAAATTCAAAATGGGTGGGAAAGAAACACTGCTCTTGTCCCCTTTGTTGGATCTAAATGGGGACCGTCAAGGGAAGGTCGAGAAGATCATAAAAGTCTGATGAATACTGCATGACAATCTTGGGACTGTTGCCTACAAAATCTGAGTTATACATCTTCACAGCCTGATTGGTTAGACTTGCAAATAAGTTTCAATATGTAACTCTCATTTTAATTCAGCAACACACGAACTGGAAGAGAAACAAAATCCTGACTTTTCTAAAGTGATCAATCGTGTATGATTGGTCCTGAGCCATTCTGACCAAGGAGGCCCCAGGTTCAGTCACAAAATGTACTAAGTTCATTGGTATGTCTGGCAGGGCTGGGTTTCAGTGTTAGAATAAGGACTACAATTAGTTTCAGTGTCTTTGGAGAATTGAAGAGAAATTAAGCCTGGGTATAAAGTCCAGGAGCCAGTGTCCGTTCACAAGTCAAATTGCATTTGTCTAAATTGTCGAGAGTACTCTTTACATTTGAGAAGCCTGTAAACATTCACAGTTGATGCTGACAGGTGAAAAATGAACTCTGGCTGAGGTACAGGTGATAGGCGAAGTTGCTTGACCTCTACTCCCACATGAATTGACATCTTCAGGATGGAGATGCTGAAAATTCAACCTGAGGTTTCCAACAATAGAAATCTAACAAGGTGGAAGTATATGTGGCTCAAACACAATTATGTGCATTTCTGAGCAAGGAGGCAAAGGGGCATGAACATAAGATCAATAGGCAAGGCTCCAAAATGTCATAAATTGACAACACCATTAATTAACAATTGAGGTGAGGAGCTAAGGTTCATAATGCAGGCACAATAGCAGGAAATGAGAAAATGTAATGCTTGGGTTTTAAGATCCTCATCACTGTAGGACAAAAGGATACTGAGGATGTAACTAAAAAGTCCGCAATTTTTAGGTCAGGAAGCAAAGAATTAAAGTATGATAAGGTGTCATGATTCAGGCTTAAAAGCCTTTTCCATTTCTTAAGATTTCTTATGTTCTATAGGAAATAATTCTGAAGCGAGCAGCCGATATTGCAGAAGCTCTGTACAGTGTGCCTAGGACCCCCAGCCAGCTTCCGACACTTTCTAATACTCCCAGCCACAGCAGCATGATGAGAATGAACTCCTATGGTAGTCAACTGGGAGTGAGCATCTCAGAGTCCACACAGGGCAACAGCCAAGGTAAGCTGCAAACATTTGGGTACAGGTCAGGCATTCACAACTTATTTTCATTCCACTCTGCTCAGGAGCAAAAACTGAGTATTGTCTCTAACTGATATGATCTTCGGTTTTATCAAATTAATGGTGTGGAAGATGCTTTATTTTATACTTTAAGCCAATTCTGCAACCTGCACATTGAGATATTGGTCTATATTATCTCAGGTTGTTGATGTCCGCATATGCACTATCCCTGAGGCTGCCTGCTCCTTCTCACTAAGTAAGGTTCTTCAACTCCTTGTACCCTGTAACACTCATTTACTTACATCTGTGCAGACTAGGTAATGAAACACAGTTTTCTAGTGTAGTGTCTCTTCACATGCTCATTCTAGTCTGGTGTCTTATCTCTGACTGATGTCAGAGTCATGTGATAAGTTACATTATCACAGTGTACTGCAGAAGGGTGCTTAATGCTGATAGTCTCCCATGGAGTCACCCTCAATAAGTTTCATGATAATCTTGCAAAATAGTTGAATAATTTGATCCCACCAGATCCTTTCTTCCTTTTGTTACCTTTGTTGTGCTTAGAATCTTAATAAAGTAGGCATTTCAGGTCTGCAGAGGTGAGGATATGCTAAATATCATTTCCTCCCTTAAAATCTCATTTTAAGAATCCTGGAGAATTTACAGCCAGGAGAACACTGAAGCCATTCTTCAGTGGGATAATGTCTCATGCAAGAGAGTGAGATGACTGCATTTAATCTCACAAAACACTCTCAAGCGCAGGAATGTAAGCTTTTTGTCTTTACAGTCTCTTTCAGTGCATAAAGCTTCATGAGTCACCCAGAAAGCATACTTTAACTTTCATGTAACTTGCATATATATGAAGTTCCAGATATTCACATTGTTGGCATTCTAACATAGGATTCATGCATGCATGAAACAAAACAAGTAAGAAAAGTAACTGAAAATAAAGTTACTTTGTTTTGGTTATTTTGAAAGCATCTTAACATTATCTGCTGATAGACTGGTTCCTATTGCTGCAGAGTCTAAATCTAGCAAGTCTCCAGGCAAGGGCTGTTTGCGACTGAGTGAAGGAGAAATTTCTTCACCTGTAAGGTTGTGAATCTTTGAAATTCTACCTCCCAGACAGTTAGCAATGTTCAAATATTGATCATTTTCAAGACTGATTGAGACGTTATTTTAAGATTATCAAAGGGTTTTGGGGTCTCGACAGAGAATTCGAGTTGAGGGAGACGCATTCATCTGCGTATAAAGCGATGGATAAAGGTAATAACAGTAAGCTAGTAATCCAGAGATTCAGAACAGAATTCTTCATAAAATGGATCATAGAGGTTCAAATCCCATCATTTCAGTTGATGGAGTTTGAATTAACTTACTAAATATGGAATCAAAGCTTGACTCAGTCATGATGACTATGAAACTTTCATCGATTGCAGTAAAAAGTAGACTACCAGGTTCAGTAAAGTCTTTTCAAGAAGGAAATATGCTATCTTTTCCTGGTGTGGACTCCATATGACTCCAGATCCATAGCAATGTAGTTGACTCGTAATTGCCTCTGAAATGACCTAACAAGCCTCTTAAGTTGAGGGGTAGTTTGAGATGGGCAACAAATACTGGCCTGGACAATGAGATCCATGTCCATGAAAGAAAAGTTCTGATATTGTTTAATCATGACTCAGAGGTATAGTATGGCCCAGGTTTCTGATACTGTTTTGTTTTGCAAAATATAAATGTAATCTTTGCGACAGTAGGAACTGCTGATGCTGGTGTCTGAGATAACAAGGTGTAGAGCTGCATATCCAGCTCTACACCTTGTTATCAATGCAATCTTTGCTTTTTTTTACTACAGACCATTTTGATGATTTTATTTGACACATTCTTTGGTCAGAGTCAGTCTGAGGAGCAATAAAGAAAGTGTAAAAAGAGATAACAAGGTGTAGAGCTGGATGGACACAGCAGGCCAAGCAGTATCAGAGGAGCAGGAAAGCTGGTGTTTCGGGCCTAGACCCTTCTTCAGAAATGAAGAATTCTTCAGAATTTCTGAAGAAGGGTCTAGGCCCGAAACGTCAGCCTTCCTGCTCCTCTGATGCTGCTTGGCCTGCTGTGTTCATCCAGCTCTACACCTTGTTATCTCAGATTCTCCAGCATCTGCAGTTCCTACTATCTAAGAAAGTATAAAAGCTATCTTTAGTGTCATTATTGAAGACTTCATTGCCAAGGTCCCCAACTGTAGTTTTCAAAAATCATCATGTAATAATATTTCATTGCATGTATTGGGAGTGGGCACAAGACATTGTTCAGTCATTGAATAATGGTAGTGTTGTACAAGGAATGTGTTTAACACACACAAGCCAATAGATTCTTCTCCAGTAGCCTGTTAACTGTGCAGGCACTTAGGGAAAAAGAGTGTTGGCCCTCACCCACTCCTTTGTAGCTTAGTTTTTGTTCTTATTATCCCAGCAGACAAGCTAGAAAAAGAATCTGCAGACCTGTCAGTCATTCTATTTGTTTACTCAAAGCCCAGTTGCAATGCACTGTTGGTACCAAGCAATGGCAGATCAAATAGAAATGAAGAGAGAATTACTGTTGATGTTGACGGCTTCATGTCGGTTTTGTCTTTTTTTTCCAAGTCCTTGTGGTTAAATACATACTGATTACATTCCAGATTTGACAGCCCCTTCAAGCAGATGTAAATGGAAAACCCCTGGCTGTTTCTAAACATTCTAACCTGGATTGACTGGAAATGACATAAATGGCCCCTATCAAGTTTTTCTCTCTCTGCACATTGCAATCTACTTCATAAATCATTCAGTATTATTTCAGCCTTCAGCATGTCAAAGGAGATTTATTTTAGCATTAAAATCTCACCAACTTAATGTACAAGCTTATGTTCAGATCTAACTCACTTCCTTATATTGGCCTGCTGAGTCCCTGGCATGATCAAGAGTATGATTTTGGAATCAGGACTGCAAAATAACTTTGTGACAAAGCACTTCGAATAATTTGGATGCTCACATGGAAAAGACTGGCTCTGTGCCGTATTACCAAGTTAACACTGGAGTGCAGATATTAATGACAGTGATCCAAACTTCAAAGAGTCACTGTAGATCCAATGTGGGGATGGAAATACTTTTGTAAATCAAGAATTGTCATATCATATTGAGTGAAAGGAGCCCCCTTGAAAGTCCAGAGAAATTATGCCTTTGCTCAAGTTTCCCAGTGGCTGCAGTGAACAGATGAGCGTTAGAAGGAAAGCTCATATGTTGGTTTGTATCTCGGAGGCACAGGCACAGGGAAGCTCTAGAAAACTTCAACATTTCCAGAATACATAAGGGAAGAGCCAAAATTCTTTCATTGTTTCACTCTTTCTACTGAATTTTGGACAGGGAAAATAATCATAATAATCCGTAGATAACTTCAAAATTTAAATATGAGGGAAAGACTCGTTGGAATCTAGCTTGACTGCAATTGAAGCTGGGGAAAGAGAAAAGGAAAAAAAAACATTTTCACAGGAACAAGAATTGGCCATTTAGCCCCTCCTTCAATAGGATCATGGCTGATCTGTGACCAAAATCTAAGCAACCGACTACGCCTCATATCCCTTCATATCTTCAGACAGATTTAAAACTAATAGCTGGTCTAGTATTAAATGCCAGATGCAGAAGAGGATTTTCAATTTCTGACATTCTATGTGTGTTGAGGTGTTTCCTAAATTCACTGCTGTTAGGTCTGTGCCTCCAAGTACAATATTCTCCCACCAAAAAAAGTTTCACTCTTCTTTTATTTGATTGTGCTACTGTCACTCTGTGATCTTCAGTGACTTGTGTGAAAGAGAGGCATGCTCAAGTAGCAGAATGGAAAGCAGGATGAAAATCTCATTAATTTGCAATAAAAGAGGATTCACTTTTCTCCTAATGATTCCATTTATCACATGTGGTCAGATCCCATTCATTCTCAATTCACTTGGCATTTCATAATGGCATTTCAGCAGCCATAGTTCTTTAAATTTTCCTCAGTTTGTCTCAACACAGCATAAATTCTCAAATCTCTATCATACAAATTTCAGATTATTCCATTCTTCCCCTGTTGTCTTCCCTCCCATCCTGAAGCCACTGTCTCATACTTGGCTCCACACAACAAGCGCTGCCCTGTTCCCATACTTTAGGGGATAAGCAGTGAGCACACCAGATTATTTATTTTTGGATGACATTGCAACAAATTTTGATGACGGTCTACACAACCTATACCCAGGAGAGGAGCCATGTCCTAGCAGGAATGACACTTCCATCATCCTAAGGAGCAGAGAAATCTAGTGCAGTGTCCCAACAAAAGAGAATGAGAAATTCAGATAACTTAGACCCGTTTTTGGCAGTATGGTCACAAATACTGACTTAAGAACATGAAACAAATCAGTCCTTGAGGGCCAATGTTTTTTCTAATATGGCATCAACTGACAAGCAGACAACTGAAGAACTAGCCAGTGTGTTAACACTCTGAATAGATATAATGCTACAATGCATTAGAGGATCTATACAATCATGGACATGTATCTTGTTTGCGAGACCAGATGGTTAATTTTGGCAGTGACTTAAAAGCTACTTCGGGGATCAGTGTGTAGCCCCCTTACCTTACCTTTTCCCTGTTTCTATGGGCAGGATATATCCACAACAGCAGCAGCATCTCTCCACGTGGATATGCACCCACCCATTCACCACAACAGTCAAACTACAACACAGTGGGTGGCAATATCAATGGATATAGCAATGTGCCAATGTCAAACCTTGGAGTACCCAGTTCTCCTGGATTCCTAAACAGCTCTCCTGTCAGCTCACCCTATGGCAGTAAGTGTCATTTTTCTTGTTCACTGTAACCATTGCATTGGACTTGATCTGGAAAACGTGAATATCTGTGCTCTCAGTATTTTTCTATTTCACTTGTTGTCTGTTTTTCTTGTGTGGGAGACTGTTTTTTGAAGTTGGGTTCAACTGCTTTGTCATTATAAATGCGATATATTGTACCTTTGGTGTCTTGCATTCTCTTATGAATGGGGTTGCTAACCGTCTACTTAATGTAAAAGATGGCCCAGCTTCTAAACGATTTGAGTTAGCTTTCAAAACTGAGCAAATGCTAAGGCTGCTGCAGTCAGAATTACTGACCCTAAGTACAGGGTAGGAAAGAACCATAATTATTCCGTTTCCTAATCATTGTCCAATAATCTTTGGTTACAGATGACGTCAGGGAAGCAATAAATCAGGCCGATATATAAAGATTCTAAAATATTTATTAGATGTTTAGTGCGATATAAACTCACAAATAACTTCCTATTGCATATTACTGGAGAATTGCAGTCTTTCATAACACAGCACCCTCATCTGAACCAGTGTCTTCAGAAGGAAGAAAGAGAAGTGCTCCCTAAAAAGATGATGCGGTCAGAACTACAGAGAGGCTTTTAACAATTTTATCCTAATTTTTAGGATTTTACTCAAAGGCACATATCATGACGTTTTTTGTGTAAAGTCGATAACACTGAGTATCTTTCACTTCTCCACCAGTTCTTACTTTGAAAGGGTTGCTATTTAACATGATTGTATGAAGTCAGATCTACCTAATCAGGCAAATAGAGTAAATGATTAGCTATTCCATGACAGCCATGGCATAAGTTTGTATTTGCTTAGCAGATTTTCAGCACTATTTTTAATCAAGAAAATTCAGTAAAGGGCCGTGCTACAATGCAGACTAGCACCAAGTTTGAGAAAATAGAAGGCTGGATCAGAAGACAAGAAATAGTGGCATCAAGCTTGAGGTTTAAAATTTTGCAAATAAAAGAAGTGAAAAGCAGAGGAAAAAAGGAGGAAGCACCATGTTTCACAGTCACCTGGTCATTGGAAGGTCCAAGGAGTCAATATGATGAATCTTTATTTCAAAAAAATGGTAGGATGCAGTATGAACGAAATCTTCACAGAATGGCACCACTTTTATTTTTCAAACTGCAAAATAAATTTTTCAGAATGCACACAACTTGGACATTTGGTCAGGTCTCTTTGAACGATCAACCCTCTACCAAATACTTGGGTCATATATGGCTCCATTGAACACTAACTGGCGAATTATACTACTTAAATTGATGCAGTATTCAGCAAATTCATGATCTTCCTAAATTTTCTACTTTTTGTTGAAGACCTGAACAAACTGGAATGCAGCTCCACAGCAGAAAGTTGCCCTCATATACCCTTAGGTACAAGTTTAGAATGTGAACTTGGCAAGGTATTCACCATAGTAGGCATTGACACGTAGCTCAATAATCGCCGCAGTGGACTTCTAAAATTAGATTAAAGTTGTTTAATGCACTGATAATTTCTATTCAAGTGAATGTCAGTGTGATGCTTCCCTGAATGACATTAAATTTTTAATCGTTTAGGTTAAAATTTTTAAAAGGAGTGAGACAGAAAAAATGATAGAAACTTTGACAACAGTTTAACACTTGATTTTTGTTTGATGTAAGGTTTAGTTTTTGGCTTTTTTAGTTGAGGCATTTAAGACTAATATTCCAGTTATAATGTCTGATGCAAATGCTCCTGACCCTTGAAAATAATTGTGATTGCAACATTATAGTGCCTGACACTGATTATAGAATCTCCCTTATTGTCACTTGTACTCCAGTACAGAAGTACAGGAGTACAGTGAAATGTTTTTACAATGGCTGTCTTTTAATGGTGCCATCTTAGGTACAAGTATTTAGTACAAAACTTACAGAGTAAAAAATATAATGTTGTTTACAAAAGAGGATTAAAAGGTAAGGATTTACATAAGTAAGAGTACCAAACAGTAGCAGCTGAGCATGTGGCGCCAGGGCCAAGTCCAACAACTGTCCCCCATCACACCAGCCTCCAGTCCGCTCCTCACTGGCACTCAGTAGCAATAAGGTAAGTCACGCTTTACTGGGATTCACCTCCATCATGCCGCTCCAGGACTTGGGACTCCCCACGCGATGTTCCCGGGCTGTCCCGGCTTGTACTTCGCGCTGCTCCAGGACACGCAGCTCATACGGTGTTCAAGGACTCCCTGATTGGACCAGATTAACAGACCGAAACAAGGAACTCATATTCTATGAAGTCCACCTGGCTGATCCCATTATAATCACTATATCCCTTTCCCTCTGAGTCTCAGGACAAAGGCCAGTTCTTTTGTTTATTGATCCTCCTGGGCATTTTAGCACTGGGTCAGGTTCCTCCAACTGTGCCTGTGATACGGGTGACGTGTAATGCACAGTAGCCCGCCTCTTGCTCCTGAATGGTGTTCCAACTCGTAATTATCCACACTTAGTATTAGAGCCCACCGCTGAATTCAGCCTGAAGCTCTAGACAGCACTGCTTTGTCCTCTTTATGTAGACCTAGCAGGGGTTTGTGGTCCATTATTATTACAAAGTTACATCTGTAAAGGTATGGTGGAAAGTCCTGACATCAACTATGACACCCAAACCTTCCTTCTCTATCTGGGCGTATTTAAGCTCTGCATTAGTCAAAGTCCTGAATGCATTTGCTATTGAGCGTTCTTCTCCATTGGGCCACCTATGAGCTAATACTACCCTGAAGCCATATAGGGAGGCATTGCATGTCAATACCAGATCTCGCTTGGGATCATAATGTGCCAACACCTGAGAGGATGATAGCTGTTTGTTCACTTCCCAGAAAGCTATGGCTTAGCAACCTGACCATTTCCAAGGCTGATCCTTTTTAAAGAGGTGATGCAACGATGCCAGAATGGAGGCCAGGTGGGAGCTGGGACATATTTGATCACCCTCACTTCCAATGAGTGTAACTCGGTCTTATCGACTCTCTCGCCCATATTGGTCACTTGGGGTGCTTGGAATATACATTTTTCCCATCTAAGGCGTATGCCCGCTTGAGAGAAACATCTAACGACTATGTCCAGGTTCTCTAAGTGCTCCTTATTGGTCTTCCCTGTTATTAGCACATCAACTAGATAAATGGCGACCTGAGGCAGACCTTGTAAAATGTTCTCCATTGTCCACCACTAAATTGCATTGGCTGATGATACCCCAAATGGCAGTCTCATATATTGGTGCAAACCTTTGTGGATATTAACAATAACTGCTTTTCTCAGAATCCTCATCTAACCGCAATTATAAGTACACATGGCTCATGTCCAGCTCCATGAAGGACAGGCCCCCCGCCAGCTTTTCGTACAAATCCTCTATGTGAGGGATTGGGTACGTACCTAGCTGTGAAAAGCAATTTACAATTTACTAAAATCCTCACAAAGGTGAACTGATCACTCTGGCTTCACAATTGGTATGACCAGTCCACAAACTGGACTGGTTTGATGATTACTTTATTTTCCAGCCTTCTGATTTCAACCTTTACTTTTGCCTATAAGGAAAATTGCACTGGATGGGCTTTGCAGAATTGTGGAATTCTTTACTGGTGAGCATGCAAGATGGCCTTTACTCCTTTGATAGCTCCTGGACATTCCTGAAAAGTTTCCAGGTGTTTCATTAGGACTTCACTCAGGCAGCCATTTTCTAATCAAAAAATGTTGCGCCAATCAAGGGGAATCTTTCTCAACCAATTTGATCCCATCAGGCTTGGGTCCAAGCTTTTTACAAAAATCAGTGGTAACTGAACCAGCTGCTTCTCACAACAGACAGGAAACAGAGGATGTTAGGACGGCACAGTGGCTCAGTGGTTAGCAGTGTTGCCTCACAGCGCCAAGGACCTGGGTTCAATTATACCCTTGGGTGACTGTCTGTGTGGAGTTTGCACATTCTCTCCATGTCTGTGTGGGTTTCCTCCCACAGTCCAAAGATGTGCAGGCTAGGTGGATTGGCTGTGCTAAATTGCCTGTAGTGTTCAGGGATGTGTAGATTAGGTGAGTTATGTGGGATGGGTCTGGGTAGGATGCTCCGAGGTTCAGTGTGGGCTTGTTGGGCCGACGGGCCTGTTTCCACGCTGTCAGGATTCTATTCTGTTCTAACAAAGTTGGACCCTTAATCTGTGAAGGTTCTGTAGTTTTGATTCTCAGTCGACCAAAATCTTTCGCAGACTTAACGGCTGGAGTCCAGAGCAAATTTTACTAAAGACTGGCTCTGCAATCACTGAAAGGCCACGCAGGTATTGTTCTTCATTAGAACCAGGTGACCATTTAACCAGATGTTTATTTTGATTTGTTTTGATTTCGATGTTGCCAGCAATTTAACTGTTACAAACCAGCTGTAGGTGAACTTTCCAGGGTCTGTATTCCCCTGGATACCGGCCTATGAGTTCTTTTACTCAATTTAGGTTGAGTGGGACTCTTTTGCTGTCTTGAGTCTGCATACTGGCAGCAACTACAATAGCTTGCTGGCCCGGATCTTTAAGAAAATGTAAACTGTTTGGTTGAGCGTTGGCTTTGTTGGGATTTTGCTGTGGGCTGACCTAGAGACCCTCTGTTCAGGATATGTCCTGAGTGAAGCTATGTAATTGCCTTCACTTAAGTGGTATTCCCCAAGCTCAGATGGACTGACGAGGGTGTCCACTTCCATCGGAATAGCCTGAAACTCATATGCTCCTCTTGCCACATTTTCCAATGATAAAACCAGTTGTAGTGTCTGTTTGAAGTCGAGTTGGGCTTCAGCTAGTAAGTGCTTTTGCATGGTTACATCATTCATCCTCCATACCAAACAGTGTCTCAGCATCTTATTACAGGTTAAACCAAAGTCACATGCTTTTGCTGGTTGTCTTAACCAAATCAAAAATCCCCATACGGATTATACTGGTTCTTGAATTGCCAAATAAAATCGATAGCATCTCAGAATTAGAGGAGGCTTAGGTTTGTAATATTCCTTAATCAAACCCATCAACTCTTGAAAGTTTTTTGTTTCTGGTGCCTCAGGGAAAGTAGGTCTCCTAATAACTGAGAAAGCTGTGGGTCCACAAGCTATCAGCTACTCATTGCTTTTCATCTACCACAATCTCATTTGCCTGGAAAAAATAACACATTCTTTCTACATATTGGGCCCAGTCTTCAATGGCAGGATCAATCGAGTCAAGCCTCCCAAATAACAGCATGCCAGCAATGCTTATCCCCAACTCAAAGACAGTTTCGAACGATTTTCTTCAGGAGCATGCTTTTCTCTTGTCACCACTGAATAACTCCACAAAGGCCGGTATCTAATCACTGAGTCGCCCTGTATTTACACATGGAAAGTCCTTGACACCGATCCAGCTCCCTCAATGTCAGGTCCTAGAGGATGTCTGTCACTCCTGTTTGTCAGCTAGGGCTCCCTGATTAGACCAAATTAACAACCCTGATCAGGGAACTTCTTTTCTGTGAGGTCCACCTGGCTGACCTGGTTACAATCACTACAGTGCCTTGTATTGATATCACAGAGTATACGTAAGAAACAGGCTAAGATAATCAGCACCATGAGAATGAAATTGCCCTCAGTCCTTTTGCTGCCTAAGAACTAAGAGTGTAATTTACTTTTCCCCAAATGACAGGACCACTTGGGAAGAAATTTGGGAAAGTTGGGTAATATGTTCACCTACTTGATGTTGAGACGAATAACTCCCATTTTCTAATCATGTATTGAAAGCCGAAACGAGATTTTTGGTAGTGAGTGGTCAGAAGCCTATTAGTATGGATTATCACTTATTAATAAGCCTCATTATTACTTCATCTCACCTCATTAATATCAGTCTCCCATTCTATCACCTGCCAGATGGAAAGTAGACAATGAGAATTGCCAACAGAGAAGTGTGGGAGATTCTCTGAAGACCCCACCTTACCACTTGTTGTTTGGATCTCCAATTTGAACACCCAGCATCAATATTTCAGGGCACAATCCATGGACAACTGCATGTATTGAACATTCAGGGACCTTGGCATCCGACATGTACCAACCTCAAAAAATCATCATGACTTGTCTCCCATCCACTTAAAATATGTTTCTGGAGTTCACTCCTGTACTTTAGAGAACATGGGTTCCCTGAACTGCATTGCTTCTGTCAGGACACTGACCCAATTCATAGTTTGGCCCAGGGTGCACTCAGATTTGCTCACATACTGTCTTAGCACTCATTCCCTTTGTGTCTACTGTAATGCTCACAGCATTTCTGCCTTGCCTTGTCATGCCTTTTGGTATTTTACCCCCTTGATCAAAGCTTAAAGACTCATTGTATGTGTACCTTGATTTCCCCTTTAATGCAGACAACAAACCTGACATCTTGTCTTGCTTACCAGCAGTGATCAGTCAAGGGGTAGACATATTGCTGTAGGGCTACCTTATTGTTACAACTGCACTATTTGTGAGCTGTGTATATGGCAACCACGTGATATGTACTTGAAGTAAAAAGCTGTGTCTCAAAGTCTAAGGGGAGTGATCCTCAGTCAGTTCCTTGGAGACTCCCTTCAAGCAGGTGTTCTCTGTACAGTAAGTCGAGACAAACATCGGTATTAGTCCATGAGCTAGGGGTGGTCAGGGAGTCCTTATCTCTCTTGTCCAAGGAGTGGGCTATGGTCACCTTTGTGAGTCCAATACCACTAATCCAGGAAGTCAGGGGAAGACAGTTGGGGAGCAGTTCAGATATCAGACAGGGATCTGGTCATCCATCATTTATGCTGTCCAGCTAAGTTGATGAAGGTGGTGGGCCCTTGTCAGTCGTGGGAGCCCATCCATTCAAAGTCAAGTGCAGTTATCACAGACCATGACTGGAGGATGGAAGCTCAGTAAGTAATTGCAGGGATTGCAGGCCAACTGCTGGGATGCAGACAGGATTACAGTTGTGAAGTGGTTGACAACGCAATATCTAAAGGGATACGTGATAGAGGTCAAAGTGAAAGGAATGTTGCACGGGTGGTGGGGGGATGTTATTGACAATCAATATATTGTAGCGTACCCTTCCTATAGTAAGAGAACAATGCTCCACTAGAACTGGCTCGTTAACTCATTATGCCTGGGGCTGGGGGTGTAAAGCAGGTGAAGATTTAGATGGACGGGTTGGGTGGGATTTGGCAAAGTTCAAAGTTTATGGGGTTGACGGAGAGGGCTACAAGAAGGAAATATTTAAATTTGAGGATTCACCTGTAGTAAAAGGCTGAGCCTGTTCATTGCTTGTGGAGTGACTGCTGTTCCCATCCATTGTGCTGTAAATAACAAGTGTGCAAAGGAAATGAAAATGGCTGTAACCACACCTCAGATGGGCAGGCTAAGTGTTTGTTGTATCGTATTAACTTAATTTGTGCAGTCCAAACCCTCGCACCAAGCACTTTTGACCATATTAGCAACAGTATGAAGCAATTCCATGAATGGCTGTGATGCAATCACAAGGTATTGCCATCTGGAAAGATTGATTCTATTTGTCACAGTAGCAATTACCTTCCATTTACCTGTTGCCTAAACTTGGTGGAGAAAATGCTCACTTTGACCATCGGACATTGTGCAGAGCTAAAGATAGCGAGGGTCCGTACCCCTTCAGTGTTGTAGTTATGGCGAGACAGACATTTGCGCACACAGCTCATGATGAGAAGTGAACATGTATTTACAAATGCAAAAACCTATTTGCAGTGACATGTGACATATGCCACCTATATGACATATGCCACCTATATGCCCTGAGAGGGTCTTAATCTTTGTTTCGCTCTCACTATATCTCAGTGCAATCAGGCGTTCTGCAGCTGGGGTGGATGGAGCCTGCCTTACACTGGGTTCCTCCACCAGTCCTGGCCTTTCAGTCATAGAGTCATACAGCACAGAAATAGCGAGAGGTTTAGGGAGGGAATTTCAGATCTGCCCTGGAAGATATAGCTGTCACTTGTGAGGCAAAGGAAGTCAGGAATGTTCCAGAGACTGCAAGATGAATGTTGAGGCTCAAAGCTGGTCACAGAAATAGGGAGAGGCAAGGTGATGTGGGACTTGAACACAAGGATGAAAACTTGAACTTTACTGACGTTTAAGCAGGTGTCCTTTGTAATATAAAAGATATAGGAATCAGTGTACGCAGTGAAAAATATAATGATCCTGAAGCAGAGAAAGAGGAGTTGGATGCTTCCAAGTTTGGAAATGTTGACAAACATGAAATTTTGTTTTTAACATTTTACGATATCAGTTGTATTTATGGTTAAAGAATAAGTGATGCATGTGAGCTTGCTTTGTTCCAGATGATCTCCACTAGTCCCCTTTGTGGGGAAATAGTGAGTAGACCAGTGTAATGTGTAGATCAGTTACCCCAACCCAAATCCTTATTGGGTGAGTGATGTGGATCAGGGTGTAGCAGCAAAAAACCTTATGAGTTTTGAAAGTAAGACATAAAGATTTTAAAACGATATACAACACCTTGAATGTGTGTGCGCGGGAGAGAGAGAGAGAGTGAGTGTGTGTGTGTATGTGTGTG